TCCGAACTAAAAGACAACAAACCGCCACCGAGTGCGCGCAGCCTCGACGCGGGGCGCCCGGGCACGACAACACCACTAACAACTCGCCTACCCTTTTTCTGGCTAGCGCCGGTCTCCACAACAAGCGTTACTACTTCTGTCGCAGCTCTTACTCTTCAACCGAAACTTTCCTACTTACCAAACCCGTCGCCATTACCAAGTCTTTCAAGCTTCGTCTTCCCCCTCCCCTCAACACCCCGGAGGTTGAGCCTTCCTGTAGCTTTTTCGCTCTCTCGTTGGCCTGTGGAACTGTCATTTAATCTTTCCACTTTCTCATTGGGTGATACCGTGGCCTTTCTCGGTGGGCGGGCATGTATTGACTTTTGTGTTGTGTTTACTGGAGAAGGTGAGGTGTCAATCACTAGAGTGCGCGCTTCGGATTGGGCTGCCGCGGACACTCTCGGGACCGGAGCCAAACTTTGCCCGCGAACTGGATTGTGGGTTGGTAGTTTCAGCCTTGCTCCCAGGGCAGGAAAACTGCTGGCAAGGGGAAACCAGATGGACTACATCTCCCAGTGGCGCTTGTACTACTCATCCTTGATAGTAAACAAGAGTCATAGGGACACGTGTATCAGCTGGTTTGTTTTGGTGTCTGAGACAAAAGGGAGGGGGCAGAGAAAGGGAGTGTTTTAAAGCTTGGGCCCCTTCTTTTCCTTTGGGCCCGGTAGACCCCTTAGAGCAGCCCCAGCCTCTAGCAGCACCCACTCCCGGCTGTAAACTGCCCGAGCCTCTGACTGCTCCAAGTTTGGCAGGAAGCCAAGGTATTGTTTTAGAGCTAGGGGAAGGAGATGACTGCACAAGCGGAAGCCGTGCTGGCCCGGGAGAGACTGGGTCACTCAGAAATCGTGGTCACAAGGCACGATGTGGATTGTGAAGGCGATGATTCCGCGGCCTCCCTCCCCCGGTAGAAAAACACTGGATTCCTTTAAAGGAGCTTAAAGCCTTCTCCAGACAGCATCTGGAGAAGATTTCTTTGTCAGCTCCGTTCAGTTCATCCAGGTTTTGTTGTATGGCCCAAGCCAGGCGTTTGGAGACTTGAGGATGAAAGCAACTCAGTTTAAAGACTTCACAAAGCTTGTTCAGAGGCGTGAACTATTAACTATTACTTTGAAATCGCAGCCAAAGCGGTGCTTTCCTTACTGACCTACTTGGTGGTTAAGGTTTCATAGACGGGTATAAGTTTAACAAACTGATTTAACTTGTGAAATACCTGTAATACAGCTTCTCTGGGAAATTTTTGGTTAACTGTTTTTTCCCCCTCCCAGTGATTTCTGAAAGAAAGAAAAACTGTCTTTGCTTTTGGCTTCACAGAGATTCCTCCTTTAGTTCCTAAGGCTCTGACTCACCGGAAGAGGAGGGCGGCTACTCTGGCTTTATAGTGACCTTCTCTTCAAACGAGGCTGCTCGTCACAGTTGGGTGCGCCAGGTCTATAATTTTTTTAAACTATTCACATTACAATGGCATAATTAAGCTCCCCCTCCCGTTTAACGTGTTTAATCATTTAAGGTATGCTTTAGGTTTATGTATCTTTAGTTGTCTAGTTGCGTGCTTAAAACTGAGATGATGGAAACTTACTAGTAAAATTCCCTTAAAGCTAACTTTTGGAAAGAGGCTGAAATCATAGCTAGCTAATTTATTTAAAAATTGCCTGCATTTTTTGAGTTTTAAATCTACCTGAGTACCATGTAGCAAAAATCAAGAATTCCAAAATAATCTCCATATGTTGAAACCAGAGCTCCTATTCCTTTAGGGGATCTCCATTGGAATACCTGAAGTGAAAGTTAAGGATAAAATAGTCCTTCCTCCCTACTGTGTGAGGAAAGGTTTAGCCTTCTTGTGCCCATTCATAAATAGAAATCAAACATTTTGTTTCTCAAAATAATTCAAAAAGAGATAAAGAAAGATAAAGAAAGCAAACCAAAAATAATTCAAGAGAGTTCCACCAAAACACCTAGTATTTCCAAGGATAAAAGACGAGTTTATATCTTATAAAGTGACTGCCAAAAGAACACAGGTCCTCAGGTTTATAAAGCAGGCATTCTACCACTTGAGTCACACCTCTAGTTTTTATTGATTTACTCATTTTTTGAGTAGGGTCTCATGTTTTTCCTAAGCTGGCCTGTATAGTGATCCTCTTAACTATGCCTCCTGGGTATGTGGGATCATAGGTGTGCATACTACCATGCCTGGACTGTGGCCCCTAACCTTGATCATCCTCAGGATCTCCACTACCTGAGTAGGTGGGATTACAGGTATGAGCCATTTTTCCCACCTCAGTCAGTTCACCTCTTCTTGATTAGTGTGATGAATACAATATATACATACATGCATAAAATCTATATCAAGATATGTCAAGAAATTGCCTTCTCGGGCTGGGAAGGTGGCTCAGTGGTAAAGCGCTTGCCTTGCATATTTGAGGCCCTGGGTTCGATTCCTCAGCACCCAAAAACAAGTCGGAAGTGGTGCTGTGGCTCAAGTGGTAGAGCGCTAGCCTTGAGCTGAAGAGCTGAGGGGCAGCGCCCAGGCTCAGAGTTCAGGCCCACGACGGGACCCAAAATAAAAACCAAAACAAGAAATTGCCTTCTCAAATGAAAATGTCTTTCAGCAGTTATTTTTTTAAAGTTTAGTTTTTCATAAATACCAACTTGTAATTTTTTGAAGATAGAAAAATAAGTAATTAAGACATCGTATTTAGGATGTATTTCACCTCTTTAGAGATGAAACTAAACAATTTCCCTTGATTCCACCATATCTAACTTACTAATGACTACTTGACTAAAACATAAGTAGCAGCATAATGAAGTTTGCCTGAAGGTTGAGAATATCACTATACAAGCTGAGTGTCAGTGGCTCATGCCTGTAATCCAAGGCTGAGATCTGAGGATCATGGTTTGAAGCCATTCTGGACAGGAAAGTCTGTGAGACTCTTACTCCAAATAACCACCTAAAAGCTTGAAGTGGAGCTGTGGCTCAAGTGGCAGAATGCTAGTCTTAAAAGAATCTTAGGGAATCCCAGGCCCCGAGTTCAAGCCCCAGGATTGGTGGGTGCATGTGCGCGCACATACACACACACACACAGAGTGCAAATTTTCAATAGATAAAATCACTCAAATACTAAAATTTGGAAGTAGAGTAGGTATAGTGTAAAACAGTGCCCAAACATTTTAGTCTCTCGGTAGGTAGTTTAAACTCTCACAGATCTCTTTTAATATAGCTTACTATACTTGGAAATTAATTCTTATAATTAACTTAGTTAAAATTAATCAGATAAACTCAAGTTGTAATGAAATGCCTGGGAGCTAATGAGTGTCATTTCAGAACTGAGCAGCAATATGGCTCTTGGTTTTACAACTTAATGTTCACAGTTTGCTCAGATAACTGTTAAAGCAAGACCTTTCTTAAGTGGACTGATAGGTGGGTGTCTTAACACTGTCCCAGGAGGAAGAATCAGTGGTTCAAAAAGGAAGGAGTCAAGAATGATTGCTGGCCCTCCCCCACAGTATAACCCCTGCTTTCACTGTATTTGATGTCGGTATAATATGTGGAGGGGAAGGGGAAAACAAGTCGTTTAAATAAGGATACAGGTGGACCCGTTGCAGCAATGAAAAGTACTTATGTCGAAAACGAACTTTACAACTTTGGGGGGGGGAGGATGGGGGGGCGGAGGGAGGCTGGGAAGGGATGTGAAGGGTAAACAAAGGAGGAGGCTACAATGCTTGATAGGAAATGTACTTATTATCTTGCCCATGTAATTGTAACTCCTCTGTACAGTATGTTCACAATTAAAAAAAAAAAGAATGATTGCTGGACTTCTGGTGTAACTGGGGTATACTGATGTAATTGAAACAGGAAATATTAGAATAAATTTGGAGACTGAGGGGGATGGGAAAGGATGAGTTCAAATTTAAATGGTATAAGCTTGCTGTGCAACCAGGAAATATGAGCACAAGGGTTAAGTAGACATCTGAATACACTCATCTGACTTTAAGACATCCAGGTCTAAGGCAAGAAATTCAGGAAACAGTCTTTTGGGGGAAGAAAGATGTTTCGTGCTTTTCTCTGACTTTTGCTCAAGGCTGGTGCTTCTGCCTTGTGAGCCAGGCCTCATGTTCCAGCTTTTTGCTGGTTAATTGGAGATTGTCTTGCTGCTCAGCAAGAAGATAGGTATCCAATTAGAACAAAAATGGACACTGAATAATTAGAAGAGATTAATACAAGGTTTTGATGGCTCATAAAGCCTTTCAAGAATTTTAGTTTGTAAACTTTTCCATCACTAAAAAGAAAACATTACAAAATTGTAGTCCCAAGTTGCTACAAGGACCTATTATAGTTTTGTGATTTGAGTCTACTTCCAACTTGTACTTAAATTTTCCCTTGTGCCTGAAAGAAAGCTTTTTTATTTTCTGATTAAGAGTTTTTGGGAAGACATTAACTTACTGTAATATAGTTGGTGTAAACTCAAGTATTTCATGTTACATTTTGCTTGTTTACTCAAGGTTGGCATGGCATTTTACTGCTTGAGCCATAACTCCACTTCCAGCTTCTTGGTGGTTAATTGGAGATGAGTGTCATGGACTTTTCTGCCCAGGCTGGCTTCAACTTGTGAATCTCAGACCTCAGATCTCAGCTTCCTGAGATCTAGGATTACAAGCATGAGCCATCAGCACATGGCAGTTTTGCCTACCAATATCAAGAAAACTGTTTAAAGAAAACAACCTCCCATATAGGTGGCATTTCATTTTTTATAATTAATTCCTATCATGCATCTCCAAATTTTCCTATATACAGAAGAGATATACTTCTGAATTTTCAAGGCAATTTTAGATTTATAGACTTGAGTATGCAGATGCAATTTGTTGGACTAATAAAAAGTTCTCTCAAAATTGTCTCACTCTGCTTCAGAAACATCATACAAATTTTATAGTAAGCTAATTAGTTGGAAACATGCCAAAAATTTGACCAGAAACCAAGAGCTTTTAATTCCCAACAACTCACAACGTTAACAATTTTGATGATGGATTCCCCTTGGTATAGAAATTGAATCAATTTATATTTTCATGAGTTTTGTTGAGCACACAAGTCTTCTCTGTAAATAACTGGTGTACTTTACTGCTGACATTTTCATAATTCATTATGTTTGTAACAGTTGTAAGTATGTGTGAAGATGTACAGCTATGTATGTTTTTATTGCACAACCATTTTTGCTGCCTTAGAAGTATCTGGAGGTTTATCTCAAAATCTCATTTCAAGTTTTCCTTTTTTTGTTTTTGTTAAATCAGTGATATTCAACATCAGGCTGTAACTCTTAGTACTTTTAGTTTCAAAAGCTACAACTCTTATTTTCTCCCCGGATTAACATTTTACTTTGATAGAGCAATTCCCTCTTCTATTTTATAAAGCTTTGGCTTTACCCATACATCTAACTCTACACATTATTTTCAAATTGTTGAAGGTCATCTAATCTTTGTAATATAATTTTTCTTCAAAAAGTAAAAATATTTGTTTTTTGAGATTCTTTGGAAAGGGAAAGCATGCTGCATTTTTTCTTTGGTGGTATTGGGGCTTGACCTCGGGTTCAAATGTGCTAGGCAGACACTCTTCACTCAGATGAGCCATGCTTCCGCGTCTGGGTTTTTGTTCATTATTTGGAGATAAAGAATCCCAAAGATTTATCTGCTCAGGCTTGTCTTTGAACTGCTATCATCAGAACTCACCCTACTCAGTAGGTAGGTGACTGGCTGCAATTTTTTTAGGGGGGGGCAGATAGGGGAGTAACTGGGGCTTGAACTCATGGCCTGGACACTGTCTTTTAGCTTTTCCCCTCAGTGCAGGAGCCCTACCACTAGAGGCGGCCTGTCCTACTTTCTGCTTTAGGGTAGTTAATTGGAGACAAGAGTCTCATGGGCTTTCTTGCCTGGACTCAATCTCAAATTAACCATAAAAAAGCCAGGATGAGGTATAGCTTACGTGGCAGAGTACCAGCTCAGCAAGAAGCTGAGCAAGTGGGAGTCCAAGTTGAAACTGGAAAAAAAATTTTTTTTTAAATCCCAAGTAGTATGGACTTTTGATTTATGGACTGTTTTAATTAATTTTAACAAATTAATTTTACACATAAACTCCTTAGCCAAATTAATCTACAACATACACTATTTCTCTCACATATGACTAACAGTTAAAAATCTTAATAGAGGGGCTGGGAAGGTGGCTCAGTGGTAGAGCGCTTGCCTTGCATCCCTGAGGCCCTGGGTTCAATTCCTCAGCACCACGTAAGCAAAAAGAAAAAAGCCGGAAGTGGCGCTGTGGCTCAAGTGGTAGAGCGCTAGCCTTGAGCTGAAGAGCTGAGGGACAGTGCCCAGCCCAGAGTTCAGGCCCCACGACCGGACCCCAAAAAAAAAAAATCTTAATAGACAAACCTGTTCTTGTGTAAAATCTTGTGCCATTATGCTATGGGGATTACATCTCATCACACTCTTGATCACATTTATGTACTACCTAAGTCCTATTGGTGGGAGGAAAAGTATTAAAAACAGATAGAGTGTTTTACTATAAAAGTGTGCTTTATTATAAGGAAAATTTAAATATAACCAACAATACTGAAAATAACATAATTGGTATTTACAGCCTTGGTCAGAGTTCTTTATTAAATAGGCATGTTTTCACTGTTCTGTGGATAGTTAACCATCAGCTTATACAACAGAAAAATAATAATACAAATTGATGAACTAGGAACTTCGAGTTTTTTTCTTAACAGACATGACTTTTCAAATAAATGTAAAATAGAAAACAAGTCTTCATATAGACTTCCCTTTTACTAATAGATTTTGTAAAAATGTTAAATACTCTTAAAATGTGGCTGAAGTTAGTTTACATTAACTTGTTGTATATACATTATCCAATTAATATCTAGCCATATTTTCAGGTATAAGTCCATAAACATTCTCTAATAAGACCAAAACAGCCACAGATTAATTTTTCCCATGTGAATGCGTGTATGTTGTATATGTTCTAAGATGTGTTTCCCACAATGAAAATACATTTAAAGCAATGGGTAGAATTAATGTGTCTATACATTTTGTCACAGGGTCTAAAATCATGTTGAGTATATTGCTTTGGTTGGATAAAACTAAAATCCACTTTTATTTGGCAGAATAAGCATATAAGCAGTCAAATGCAATGAGTACATTTTAAGTTTTCCATACTTACGGTGTATGTGGAATAACAGCAATTCCTTTTATTAATAAACATAGCTTACAAAAATTATTTCTACTACTGTCAACAAGTTTTTCATGAGTAAAAGGCCAACCAAACCTCATGGGCTATCAATGAGTGACACTGCAGTTGGCAGCCAGAGAACAGAAAAACATGGGCACGTGTGCCAGAGACAGTGCCACTTAGGCCTGCTGAGGAACACAGAAGTAGCTGTGGGCTTAGAGATAAAACAGTCCCAAATATGTTAAGTATAAGACCTTTTAGAAGATGAAAAATGTCAGATTTAACAAGTTTAAGTTTGAAGAGAAGACTCCAAGTCTTTGGACTCATTGTCCAAATCAAGCTTCTAAAGCTAGAGAATTATGGGCGATACAGAATGAAGAAAAGAAGCAAGATATACATTATCTTTCATCTACCTATTATCATGACTAAATTGCCAGTCCCTAAAACTACTGGAGTATGTTACTGACATTATGCCAAGAAGTCAAAATGTACTTTATTGCAAAAATATAAAAAATTTAAAAATTGCATATGTTTCATACCATTTTACCAATAGACCAAGGCCAACACATAACTTATCAAGCCAGAAAAAACTTTAAAATGAGAATGATTGAAACTTTGCTATACATAATGAGTTATAAAAAGAATGCGATGCCATGCTGGGTAGCATGAGTCATTGCCAAGTTCCCCCCAACATGGGCACAGTCACGGGTGGGGTATCAACTCGAGTAAGTCAAACACATATTGCCTATAATAATGTCTTTTAATCTTCTTAAACATGAATTCTTTCAATATATTACAATCATCGGAATAAAACTTTCAGTCAAATTTTGTGGAGTAGAAAGTCATTTTATCAATATGTTTTTTTTATGAACTACTCATTAGAAAGTGATGTTAAAGCCTACTGATTATTAAATCACTACTGTTTACAGATACATTGTAAATGTAAAAAAAGGAAAAAACCTGAAATCACAGAAAATGCTTGGCATCTACACAAACACATCCTCAGTGGACTAACCACTACTGTGTTAATTTTTCACTATAGGTCTTCTTGCTTCATACTTTTGCTTCATGCAGTGGGTTCAACAATATCCATGTTTGTTCCAAACAGGGCAACTAACTGCTCTTCATAGGTGGCGATGTTCCTTTTCATAATTTCCATGCAAGGTCCCAAAAGCCTTTCAAATGCTTGCACATCCATGGCTATGATAAAGAATAAATTTAATAATATTTGCAATATTAAAAGCTGTCAGAATATCCATTCTACTATCATCATCCATTATCATATAGCAATTGTGGCACATCAATAGTGCAAAGTATTTTTAGTTGTAAATATTGTAAAATACAAGAAAAACATTAAAGATTAATAGTCTACTTCAAAAAAGAAGCATATGGGGCCATCCTCAGCCATTCTCAGGTCCTTTGGCAGATGGTAAGAAAAGCCAAGGTGGCAGGAGGGCTGATACTAGGATATGGGAACTTTTAAAAATAAACTTTGGTCAAGTGCCAGTGGCTCACACCTATAGTCCTAGCTACTCAGGAGGCTGAGATCTGAGGTTCATGGTTCAAAGCCAGCCTGGGCAGGAAAAGTCCATGAGACTCATCTCCAATTAACTACCAAAAAAAGCCAGAACTGATGCTGTGGCTCAAGTAGTAGAGCAGTAGCCTTGAACACAAAAGCTCAGGGACAGTATCCTGGCCCTGAGTTCAAGCCCCAGGACCATCATCAAAAAAATAATTTTGATGTCTATAGTCATAGAAACACCCCAAAGTGGCAAGGGAATGTTTCCTATTCTCAGAGTTAAATTTCCATAAAACTTAACTCTCTTATTCAAATACTTTCTATACAATTCAAGATGGCAGTCAATACACTGCTTTGTCTACTATAAATGGTATTTATTACTTTGCTTGCCTGTCCTGTGCATTTTAAAACTAATTTTATATATGTACTGTCTTAGACTAAAATCCTTTTGCCCATCAAATTTACAAAGGTAATTTATAAGGATGGGGTGAATGGGCAATCTTACCCTTCTGGCAGCATGTAAACCAGTACAAACTGTGTATCAAAAATTAGCAAAAAACCTGCTTCTGAAGTCCATTTTAAGAAAAATCTTATCTGTGGAAAGGTCATCTATATGTGTGTGCATGTGTGCACATGCACATACACTGACACACACGTGTATATGCATAAGTACATAGTCAAAATCCACAAAATATTATCCAGAGGACATCAAGTAATTTATGATGTACGTATTTACCTAACAATGTTAGGTAAGGAATGTTGATAAGGAAATTTCTATAGGCTATCATTGGTTGAGCAAAGTTGTTTACAATTTTTGTCTTTGGTGCCAGTCAGTCCTAGGGGTTGAATTCAGGGCCTACGTGCTATCCCTGAGCTTTTTTTGCCCAAGGCAAGGTAGGTAGTTGGAGATAAATTGTCTCACAGGCTTTCCTTCCCAGTCTCAGCCTCCTGAGTGGCTAGATTATAGGTAAGCCAATGGCGCCTAGCTTACAAAACTTTTCAAAACAGAAAATCTATATAAATGAAAGCAAAAAGCAATTATAGTAACAATTACAAAGTGGTGGTCATGGTGTGGACAAATCTTACTTTTTCCAATATTTTCTATATTCCTCAGGTTCTTTTTAATATGTGGGTAAGTATCAAGTTCACTGCCATCATTGTTACACGTACTAGCTCTTTGAGGGAAAATTGCCTGTCAGTCCCTAAGTCTTCACCAAGTATAGTATACTTATTTAAAACTGGCCACTCTAAGAAGTTAATTCTGGAGATCTTTGCAAATTTTAAGAACATTGCAACTAAGTTAATCTTGTTGAATTATGGGTGAAGAGCCTGGAGAGACTAATTACTGTGGGATTTGTTTTATTGAAAATGCCATATGCCCATTTGCTGAATTACATTTTTCATTACCAAGACAAATGATTTGTCCCAAAATCAGATACATAAATATGTCTTCCAGGTGAAAACAGCATTTCTGCCAAGCTCTTTTGGTAAAAGAAAGTAATAAACAGCCGAACAGCAGACACTGGAGTCTTCAACAAGCTGGACTCTGGGTCTCTGTGCTTGCCCATGTGTATTCAATTTCACTCCAGTGCTTATGAAGGAACTTTACAAAAACATTACCTTAATCTTGTCTTTTGAAGAACATAGCACATGTTATTTATTTATTTTACATAGAAAACTGGTACTTGGAATTCTTATTTCAATTATTAAATGCATTCATACACATATAAAACAAGATGGACATAAAACTCCTTAAAGAAAAACAGTTCTCATAAACATATAATGCCACAAGTCCTAACTTTGGTCTCTTCTGGGGGAGCATAGTTCTTGTGAACCCAATCAACATGATCCATGCAATATGAACACATAAACTGAAGACAGTGACCACTGTTTCAATCCTTACCTAAGCACTTCACAGTTCCAATGGCATGCGCAGAAGCTGCTCGGGGTTTGTTTGTTACCAAGGCAAGCTCTCCAAAGTACTGTCCCCGAGAACATCGGGCGATTTCTACAGCACCGTTCCCGTTCTCCTCTACTTCTGATTTACCCTGTAGAGGTAAGGAAAAATATGAGGGTGTGTATGTGTGTGTGTGTGTGTAAACTATGAGGGTGTGTGTGTGTGTGTGTGTGTGTATTTCTACAGCACCATTCCCGTTCTCCTCTACTTCTGATTTACCCTGTAGAGGTAAGGAAAAATATGAGGGTGTGTGTGTGGTATGTGTGTGTGTGTGTGTGTGTGTGTGTGTGTGTGTGTGTATAGATACTGTGGCCTGAAATCCTAGCCTTGCATTCCGTGCAATTCCTCACTCTGCTGTTTTGCTGATTTCTTGCATCCTTCCACTTGATCCACACCTCTAGTTCTAGCTTTTTGCTGGTTAATTACAGATAAGAGTCTCATGGACTTGTCTGCTAGGGTTGGCTTTGAACCATGATCCTCAGATCTTGGTCTCCTGAGTAGCTAGGATTATAGATATAAACCATCAGTGCCCAGCTTAAAAACAGTAGCTTTTACTCCACTTATGAAAAGAGAAGTTAAGCTTAGTCTAAGAAACAAAGAAAATCTATTTTGTTGCTTACTAATATTAGGTGGACTTAAGAATACTTACCTTTCTTTTCATAGTAATTTTCACTTCTCCAGATTCTACAATAAAAAAAGAGTCAGCCAAATCTCCCTATGAGAAAAAAAAAAAACAGAACAACCAAAAACAATGGTGAAAATGCAAATTTGACAGTGATCCTGAAATCATATTCTTGAAATCAGCCTGAAAAGTGATACCCAGGTGAAGAGGCTATTTCCTTCTCTGATTTAAGAGGTTAGGATTCTTAATTATATTAACAGTTCTATTTGTAAAATTATTTGAAATAATATAGTCTTTACCACAACATGTCTGCTAAAAGCTAAGAAAATATGGCAAATAACACTAGGGTAAGAACCTCCCTCAGATTTTGGCCAGGGTAACAGTATATGTAGTTTGAACTGGCAACAACACTTTGCTTCCTATCTTGGCAGCATCCCCTCTGTTAGCAGGAGTATATCCCTGATTCCTGAGCCCTGCTACATCCCCCTAAAGTAACAAGCACTGGTATGGTAACCTATGGTAACATGGACTCAAAAGAGCAGAAAGCAACCAGCCAGGTATATTAGGAGGTGTAGATACAGGCCTTGGAAGTCTGGAGTCTTGAGTAGTATAGATGTGGGCCTTGAAGTTTTTACTGCAGTTAAGGACTAAACTCTGAGGTGCCAGAATATTGACTATCCACCAACAGTTTTTGAAAAGACCTATAATCCTAAAGAGTGGTCCCATTTCTAACCACATATGCAATTCTTGATTTTGCTTTGCAAAAATTCTGCCTTGATTTCTAATGGTTCTCCCCCCCCCACAGTTCTGGGGCCAGAACTTTGGGCCTGGGCACTGTTCCTCAGCTCTTCAGCTCAAGGCTAGCACTCTACCACTTGAGCCACAGCACCACTTCTGACTTTTTCTGCTTATGTGGTGCTGAAGAATCAAAACCAGGACCTCATGTATGCAAGGCAAGCACTCTACCACTGAGACACCTTCCCAGACCCTCTAATGGTTCTTTTAACAAAATAAGCAGTATTCTATGTGAAAAGATAGATTTTAAAACCTGGCCTCTCAGAGAGACTCTAGGAAAAAACAGGTATTCCAAAACTCTAGTATAAATAAAAAACTTAGCATCTATTATATCACAATTATCCTGCCCAGGCTTTGGGTCTTCCACCAGTACAGAAAAACAAAAACAAACATAAAAACAAAAAATTTCCCTACAGATTTGTCTCATAAAAATAAATGATGACTCTAGATTTCTAAAATTTAGTACATACACATATTTACAAAAGCTTAAAAGTAACAAACTATAAACAAATACCTTTAATTATTAAATATAGCATCTCTTTATTTTAATGCTAGGGCCTCATACATGTTAAACACAATCACAGCTATACTCTCAGTTTCCTCCTCCATTTTTCTGTCGTTTATTTTTTTAATTAAAAAAAAACTCAGTTGTGGGGCTTGAACTCAGGTGCTGTCTGAGGTTTTCCTCAAGGTTAGTGCTCTACCACTTTGAGCCACAGCCCTACCTCCAATTTTTGAATAGTTAATCAGAGTTAAGAGTCTCACAGGGACTTTTCTGCCCAGGCTTGCTTCAAACCATGATTCTCAGATCTTACTCTCCTGCATAGCTAGGAGTACAGGCGCTACTGGTGCCTGGCTCTCTATCAAGTTTTTATAAAAGCTTCATGCTGAATTTCCAAGTGTTATAAGTCATAATAGGTCTATTGGCTGTTGTGTAAATGTGCTCCAAATGTCTGTAAAAGTGGTGACATCTAAATGAAGTTTGTAGGCGGTGTCAATGTCAATGTCCTGGTTTTGGTATTGTACAACAGTGATGCAAGATGCACTGGAGAACTGGGTGAAAAGTGTTTGGGAACCTTCAGATCTATTTTTGCAACTTCTTGTCCATCTATGTTTCAAAATTAAAAGGTTTTATATAAACAGTATTTTAAGAGACTAGGGGGTGTAACTGGGTGGTAGCACACATGCTTAGCAAATAAACACAAGCATTTAAGAAGTGCTCTGTACTTGACTATATGATAGTTCCTATGATATAACCATAGCCCATTCTTCCTGACTGCTCTAATCCATATATATACGAGCATATACAGAAATGGAGACACACATACACATGTGGCTGGTTGAGAGATTTACTTATGGGCCTTCTAGACAATGATGTTTTTCCTCACTGCCACAGATCTTGACTCTCATTCCCAGATAAAGAAGCAATAATTCAGATAATACACTGTAATATTATGATATAAAAACTACATTATCTATTGGAAGTTCATTTGATATGTACTTATACTTCTAAACTCTCCTGCTTTACCTGTGAATTCCAACTTTCATAACTCCTACTTTGGCAGCCCTTTGGACCATGGAGGTATGTAATACCCTTGGTTCCAATGGGGATCTTAGAAAAGCATCAGGGGTTCAAGAACAGGCTTAGTGAGCACATTTTGTGCTTGGAAGCCATAGAGGAAATGGGGCGCTGTGTCTCCGCAGAATCTCCTAATGGACTTGTGGGTTTTGTTACCTCATGGACCATCCACTGATTTCCTCTTATAATTGACAGCTTATTATGTAAAAATGAATTTCATGTCACGTATTACAAAATGATGAAGAAAGCCAGTTGAGGGTTTAGGGTTATATAAACAATATTTCTTTTGTCATTCCTGAGGCTTGAAGTCAGGGCCTGGGCACTGTCCCTGAGCTTCTTTTACTCAAGGCTAGTACTCTACCACTTGAACCACAACACCACTTCCAGCTTTTTTTGTTTATGTGGTACTGAGGAATCAAACCCAGGGCCTCATGCATGCTAGACAAGCATTCTACCACTAAGCCATATTCCCTGCCCATAAACAAAAATATTTAAATAGTTTAATGGCTGTAAACTAAACCATTTTAATAATCATTTTATAGAATAATAGTTTCTCCACTGCTACATACTAATAAAGACCTTTAACTGAATTACATTTACAAATACCTGAGCAATGATTTGTTCTCCATCATTGTAAACTTTGGTGCCTATCACATCTACCACTTTCAGGCGTTCTGAAACCTACAAGGAAAAAATAAAGGTTATTAAAAAGAAATGGACTAGCTGGGTAATCTACCTAGTTTGTAGATTAAAACATGGTAGCCTATGGGCTAAATTAAGCAGTATGTGAGCTGTATATATGATTGCTATATTACTTAACTGTTGGCATTTTGAAGTAAAATTTTTGTTATTTCCAGCCTCCCTCAGATTATAAGACAACTCAGCAATCCCAGCCCAAATTTCCAAATGGCAACAACAAAGCTGTGGTAATGGCAGCTGTTTCTTTAGATGGAGCACATGGTCTCTAGTTCGTCATAGTCCCTTCCTGGCTTGCTTTCTGACTTTATGTCAACTTGCCTAGCTCTGCAAGGGTTGGGTTTCCACCCCTGAACTACTTCTATTTAAGGAGATAGCACTGCTGGCCAAGCTCAGCTGTCTAACATGCATTCTGTAATGAGGCCAAAATCCTACCAGGCATAAACTCACAACTCAAAAGGGGCATTAGAAAGGAAAAACACCACTGTGTTGACATTTGCCACTTTATAAGACATTTGTAGGCACATACTGTGCCCTTCTCTAATTACTTTCAACATGTTTCATGTATAAGACTACACTGTCTAGACAACAGAGTTTAACAATGACGTATGACAGGTAAAGCTGGATTTTTAGGCCAACAACTCTCATAAGTGTATTCCTTCAAAGATAAAACTCTAGCAGCTGGTCTTAATTCAGAAGACATCTGGACTAAACACTGGAGGTGATGAAGGAATGAGGCAGGGATTGTTCAAGAGAATATTCTAGGCAGATGGCAAAGCACACAGGTTTGAAGTTGAGAAACAGGAGGAAGCTGGTGTGACTAGGACCAGTATGGAACTGTAGGAAATGGGGTAAGAGGGTACAGGGAGGGAACACCCCTCACTACAGTGCCTTAGAGACCTGTGAGCAGGATCTTAAACACATGACTGCCATAATCAACACTTACAAAAGAGTCTGCTGGTATCTGGTACAATTCAGGCAGGAGGTGATGACAGCTCAGACAGGAGGTGATGCTGATGATGTTAGTAGGAAAAGATCAGACGCTGGAAGTGTCTTGAAGACAGGGCAGGGAATGTTACTGGCAGGTAGGAATGGGAGGGGCAAACAGCCAAGTAAGTGGTAACTGCAAGGTTTCTGGCCTGAAACACTGGAAGAATGTTGTTGCCAACTACTGTGATAGGGAAGAAAACTGAGGAGGAGGTTTGGTGTGAGCTAATTTTGAAATGTTTATGAGATGTGACAGGAGACATTAAATAAGCAGTTGAGGATGATGTCTGATTGTAGGAGGTACCAGTATTTAAGCACAGGATTTGACAAGTTCACCAAGTTAAAGTGTAGCTTGACAAAAGATAGCCAGAGGCTTTGAATACAAATGTAAAGAAGAAAGAAGAGTAAACCGGGAGACAAAGTTTGGTGCCAGTGTCTCTGGCTGTAATCCTAGCTACTTAGGGCTGAGAGCTAGGATTGCAGTTCAAAGACAGTCCAAGAAAAAAATCTGTGACTCTTATCTCCAATTAATCTGCAAAAAGCAGAAGTGGAGGTGTGGCTCAAGTAGTACAGCACCAACCTTGAGAAGAAAAAGAAAAAGAAAAAAACACTCTGTCCCTGAATTCAAGCTCCAATTCCCATGCCAAAAAAGAAGAGAAAAAGAAAGAAAGAAAAGAAAAACAGGAAGGAAGTTGTGTTTAGATAACTAAATAACTCCCCCCTGTAACATGTAACTAAGTAGCTCCAGCAGACATTGACATGATTGTTTTAAGTCTACTACTAGTTATAAACCACAAACAAATTTGCTATGGATCTTGTACTAAGTAACAAAAAGCAAAAGCACTTATAAGTAAAAGAAATACATGAGTTATTAACACAGCACCACCATTTATTCTTTTAGCTTGAAAATAACGATCAATTTTAATTAAGAAAACTTTTCTGTAGAACTAACTCTTGCTAGCAAAACAAGCTTTCAAGGCAGAACAGAGTAAACATGTACTTACCTCCAATGATTTAAGGAATGGCAGTGACTCAATAAAGCTTTCATACATTTTTCTCTTTTTGGCATTGTTTTTGACAATTATTCTCCTGAAGGTTACCCTGTCCTAAAGGTATAATATCAAATACAAAGACTGTTAAAATACAGGCTCTTGGAGGAAAAGAAGTCTGAACAAAAGTTTTTTCACAAGGCATCAACAATAACAAGATTGTGAAGCAAAAGATCAACATCTTTATAGTTTTAATTAAACTCATTTCACAAAATATAGAATCATGTAAAATAATTTAGCCTTTTTTGGGAAGTGTCAGTTGATTTTTATTAACAGAAATCTGACCATTATGTGACGCTATACCCACAAGGAGGCGCTATCAGCCCATTAAAAATACAGACCAGACCTGTGTTTACTGTGAATGGCAGCTCTAGGTTACAAAACCAGTTATGTAGGACATGACCAGCATTTCTATAAAAAACTAAGTAGAAAGAAAACCTCAGTGTGCATTCCTCATAGTAACACTGCTTTGTTAAATATTTATTTCAGTCATACTCAAAGACTTACACATAAATATAGTGGTCATGATGCGTTTCCTGAAGTAAAAACTACATGAAAAACATTACAAGCAAAAAAAATCACAAAATCACACTGTCAGAGATCTTGAAAATTATGTATACTGGGTTCTTTTTCATATCTACATCATGTCAGAATTTTCTTCTGAACATGTGAAGGCACAGAGGAACTACATTTTCTTGAATAAGGTCTTCGTCCAGACTTTACAATGTTGAGGGCCTAAAATCCTCTTATTTATGTCTACTGGGTCCCAAGATCTCAAAGATGCAGAAGTGAACTGAAGTGGAGAAATTTCTAAGGACAAGAACTCAAAAATTATTCACCTAGAGTATTTATTTTGGTTGGGCACTGGTGGCTCACACTTGTAATCCTAGCTCCACAGAAGGCTGAGATCTGATGATGGCAGTTCAAAGCCAGCCCTGGCAGGAAAGTTCCTAAGACTCTTAACTCCAATCAACCACCAAAAAGATGGAGAGGAAATTGGCTTAAAAGGTAGAGCGCTAGCCTTGAGTAAAAAAACAAAACAAAAACCCTCAAGGATAGTGCACAAGCCTTGAGTTCAACCCCAGGACTAGCAGACAAAAAGAAAGGGAGGGAGAGAGGGAGGGAAGGAAGGAAGGAAGGAAGGAAGGAAGGAAGGAAGGAAAAATTCACTATTATTTTAAATCTTAAATGAATGCTCCCTAATTATAATCACATAGTTTTCCATGGGCAGACAATTACACCATTATTAAAATTTTTTAATTGAGATAGTATTATTACTTAATTAAAAGTTACTACACCAATATATGAAAGCTGAACTTAAATGTACCGTTATGATGGAGAAAAAAATACAGTGAAGTTTTGAAAATACCAAGGTCTGATGGGCTCAATGCCCCCTCCCCCAATTCATTTGATGCTGAAACTCAGTCCCCAAGGTGACAGTACTGAGCTGGGCCTTCAGGAGGTGATGAGGTCCTGTGTGTAGAGTCCTCATGAACGGGATTAGTACCCTTAAGGGGCCCTGGAGACTGCCCTGCCACTTCTACCTAGTGGGGACGGCAAAATGGCCATGTACACACAATAAAGACGCCTCCAACAACTGGGGACAAAGGTCTCGGGACCTCTGTCTTGGCCCTTCCCACCTCCAGAACTGTGAGAAACAAATGTTTTGTTGTTGAAGCCACCCATCTCACAGCAGTCTGTGTCCTATCTAGCCAGACTAGGACATTAGGAAGTTAAACACCCTGTTCCCCAATTTATTACTTTCAAATTGCCTAGAATTTGGATTTATACTCTTAATTTTTTAAGGAGTGAGTGAATTTTACATGATAATGCACAAAATTATTGAACTTATTTCCAAGCCTCACTCTGCATCAAAATCTGCTGTAGTAATTTCTCAGATTCCATGTCTAGCTTAAGTATCTATATCCTATAAAAGTTCCCAAGTGATTCTTACACATAAGAGAACCAAGACCATCTTAAGACAGAGCTGGCTGCAAAATAGAGAAGACCCAAGTCTGCATGATAGAATATGAGTTCTATCTCTCAGGAATAATTTTCTATTATTAATGGCTCACCTCTTTGTACCTGCTGTAAACACAAACAAAAAAACTCAGTCCAATTTCAAAGCTTTAATCATAGTCATTTCAATAATAACCTCTGAATCTTGAGCTCAGTCATATAGACCAGCAAACCTCTCACAGCTAACAGTAACCAAGTGGTATTTACAGAGTGAGATTATTAAATAAAGGACTTTTGGGAGTTGCTTATCTTTACACCTGCACTTTCATGGCAGAGATCCAGTTTGTTGACCTTAAAGTTTTCATTCCTACTCAACTTTCCCTGAGAAGAGATTAGTTAGGCAAGTTGCTTTTAAAAGCTGGCTTGAAATACTACAGAATTACTCTAATTGGTATTACTGTTTTTAAAAGCTATTGCGTTTATACATGTACCCCACAGTGATATCATACACAGCCTTCTTTTATAAACTCTAATGACATGCACAGATTCCCAAAAATCTCTGTAACTGTTTCTTAGAAGTATTATATACTGTGGGAAATCCTGGGTTATTTAGTGGCTAACTAAAAGTTTCAACAAGGGTAGAAATTGTCAACATTCAAAGAGGCCAATCTGAAAATAATTGATCTTGTATGAGAGAGGTCTCCTTGGTGTGAGACAATCGAATCCAGACTGGCAACCCCATTGGAATGACTACATTTTTACGTTATACCTTGCTTAACAGTACAGATCGCCGGGCGCTGGTGGCTCACGCCTGTAATCCTAGCTACTCAGGAGGCTGAGATCTGAGGATCACGGTTCAAAGCCAGCCCGGGCAGGAAAGACCGTGAGACTCCTATCTCCAATAAACCACCAGAAAAACTGGAAGTGGCGCTGTAGCTCAAGTGGTAGAGCGCTCGCCTTGAGCTGAAGAGCTGAGGGACAGAGCCCAGGCCCAGAGTTCAAGCCCCATGACCGACAAAAAAAAAAAAAAGTACAGATCATGGTAGATACTAGATTTATCTGGGTAAACACTTTTTATAAACCCAGGTCTGCTCACATATGTTTTTTCTTTGCTAGTTTGGGTGTTCAGATCTTCGAGAGTCCTTAAAAACACTTCAGATTGAGGAGCTGCCTTCCACCTAAAACAGCTCCATTTTTCCCCCTACAACTTAAAAAAGTGACTCATCATGTTTTAAATAACTGCCTGGTTCTAATAAAAAAAAAACAAATGTAAAACATCTTGTTTCTCAGATCAAGAGATATTTTTATCAGCTCAATCTACTTCTGAGTCAAATGCTGAGTTGAATAATATGTAACTTCTGTAACACCGCAGTCTTTAGAAATGAGATAGTTAAACAAACTTCCTATTCAGTTCAACTTCTTCTTCTACCAAGTGATTTAGGAAAAATAACCTAAGAAACATACTCCAAAACTGCAAGGTAGGCTGTTTTCAACCATATGTACTGCAAGCACCAGGCAGCTCCCAGAAGCCGATGAGAAACGCAGATCACAGGCCTCACCTTGAGTCTACAAGATTCCCAGGGGATCTACAAGCTTATGGAAGTTGAGAATCGCTATCCATAATACAGCCTTCCAGAAGACTTTGCAACATATTAACCTTTGCACTGTGCTATTGTATATGAAAAGAACCTCTTTCCCCACCCCCATTGGCCATATGTCTTTAATCATTGTCTTCAAACCAACTTTTAAGTCATATAGAAACACTACAATTAAGAAACTTATTTAAAGGTATAGATTGAGCATCCCTTATATGAAAAGCTTGAGTCAAGTAATGGTTTTGGATTTGAGATTTTTTTTCTCAGATGAAGGAATATTTACACTTACATAATGAGTCACCTGAGGTATGAGACCCAAGTCTCAACACAAAATCCATTTGTTTCACATATATCCTGTACATCTTGCCTACACTATTATACATGTTACAGTATGTATTCTTTTATACCATGATATTACAATACAAAATCACAACATGTATTGTAATTTTATATAGTATTTGTAATGCATCTGTGTCTATGATGATAACCTGTTACCTGAGGTCAGGTATGGAGGCATGTCAGTGCTCAAAAAGTTTTGCGTTTTGGAACACATCAGCTTTTGGGTTTTCAGATTAATATCTAGGTCTCACTGCCAGAGATTCTGATAAAATTAGTCTGTTATGGATCCAAGCAAGAGGATTAAAAAAATACTGCAAGTCATTCAGACATACAGTCAAGTAAGAAGCCTAGTACCAAGTATTGTTTACGTATGCACAACTGTTAAATATAAAGCTGTTACCAATCAATTGATACCACTTAGAGAATCAGTTTCTAGTGGTTTCGCAAACTCTGGCATGCAGACTCACCTGGAGGGCTTCCTCAAGTACAGACTCCTGGGCCTCACCTCTAATTTCCAATCCATAGGCTAGAACCAGCAGTGGGGCTCCAGAATGTGCATTTCTAACCAGTTCCCAGAGGCTACTACCACAGGACCATGTTGTGAGGAGGACTTTCATCAGATTATGATACTGACTTCAGAGAACTACCTGAGAAACTGCCATGCAGGATTTGTGGGACTTCTGTTTGTTTTGTGCTGGTTCTGAGGCTTGAACTTAAGACCTGGGCACTGTCCCTGAGGTTATTTTGCTCAATAGCACTCTACCACTTGAGCCACAATTCCATTTCTGGCTTCCTTGGGAACTTAATTGGAAATAAGAGTCTCACAGACTTTCTTGCCTGGGCTGGCTTCAAACCACAATCCTCAGATCTCAAGCCTCCTGAGTAGGATTATAGGCATGAGCTACCAGCACCCAGCCTGAGTATGTGGTATTAAAGAGTGGATAAGGAACATTTTGGATCTGGCATCATACCCCAGGGCCAAGAGATCCCATGCTCTTGATTGGATGAAAGGCTGTGAAAACTTGGACTTAGCAAAGTCTTAGTGACCAAATGTTCAGCATCTATCAGTTGCTTAATAAATTCCCTAATGACTGATGATTCCAAATAAATCTACATATTACAAGTAAATTCACTATCTACATGTGTATTGTCATAATGGTTCTTATAAATAATGAGATTCAGATCAAATTAACATATACTCACCAAACCCCACAGAGCACCGGGAGAGGTAGCCGTGATTGTAGCTGCTCTGGGTGTATTGTACATTAAGGCCAGTTCACCAAAACTCCCACGATTATCATAGTTACCAACACATCTTCCAACACCATCACATTTTACATAAATATCAAATGTTCCTCTGTTGGACATATAGAAATTAGAGGCAAAAGAAATTCAAGCAAAATCTAATTACAATGGAGCATTATTTCAGAGAAGAGCCTATCCCTCCCCACTGCTAGCAAGTAATAAAAGGTTGGGGATGTGAGGATCTGTGGAGAACACCAACTAGGCTAGAGGAGGGGCATGGGTGTGCTCTGCTGGGGAAAATGGAACCAATCGATCACAATTTAAGGTCAAATAAAGGATGAAAATCTGAGGCTACAACCAAAGAGGAAGTCCTCTGAAGGAATACATGTCAAACACTAACTGTACTTATCTCAGACAATAAGAACAATGAGGGACTAAAAGGATATTTACCATGTAATGTAGGTGCTGATGTTTCTAAAGTGAACATGTTTTATCTTTGTGAAGACAGAAAATGGCTTTTTTTAAGAGAATAAAGCTGTAACAACTCGATTAGTCACCACTCCCGATAACTCACTAGGGACATGCGCTGGACCCCATCCTAGATGCTTGCATCTGTAAATAAAGGTCTATTGGAGTATTAAATAAATGTGTGGCTTTATGCATTTTCTGTGACTGGTGTTAGCTACAAACACACAATTGAATAATTGTTGCAACAGAGCCCTATAGGCGGGACCACAAGACCTAAATATTTCTTTCTAACCATTTACCTTAGACCCAGAATGTCTGACCCTGTTTGTTTGTTTTTTTAAATAGTTTTCTAAACTTATATTTTGGGTTTTCTTCTAGGCAAAAATGACTCTGGCCGGGCACTGGTGGCTCACATCTGTAATCTTAGCTAATCAGGAGGCTGAGATCTAAGGATCATGGTTCAAATCCAGCCAGGGCAGGAAAGTCTGTGAGATTCCTATCTCCAATAAACTACCAGAAAACCAGAAGTGGTGCTGTGGCTCAAGTGGTAGAGTGCTTGCCTTGAGCTGTAAAGCTGAGGGACAGCGCCCAAGCCCAGAGTTCAAGCCCCATGACCGACACACACACAAAAGACTCTGCTTGTAACTGCAGTCCAGCTCTCCTAGGCCGTATGCTTATATAACTATCTCTCTTACAAAAAGATCACTCACAGGTGTGAGTACTGGTAGACAAGAGCTAAACCTATCAGACAGAAGAGGTGGCAGCCAAAAAAAGGAGTAACTTTGAGGACTAGACAGGGATTAGGAATGGTAAAGAAACACAGCAGAAGCCTGCAGACACGAGAGTCATGAATAGAGGCAAAGTACAGGCTTTTAATATAATTCATAGATTGACTATTTCAAGGCTGCTACCTAGACTTTGTCCAATGGATAGTTATTTTTCAAGTACAGATTAAATTATTCCATTTTGCATACTTACATTTTTGCATTGAAATGGTTTTCTACATTTACCACTTTGAATAGAATAAAATATGTCATTTTGTTCACAAAACTAATACACAAAGTAATTTTAAAAAAAGTTGAGCTGAAACGTTGTCAGTCTAAAGTCTATTAGAATACCCTGCGCTGCTTTTTATATAGATGTCTTCTTTGATCATGGGAAGCCTCAGGCAGTGTATAACCATGGACAGAGCCTGACTGAATGCTAGGAGACTTGAACTAAGAGGTGAGCTCTACACTGACTGTCTGGGCGGCCTTAACCAGTTCTTGTCACTTCTGTGTATCGATGGGTAGAGTCTAACTGAAAGAGAATATACTATTTATTTAACACAGATTTTTATTCAAAAACGCCCACTTAACAAGTGTAATATGGTATCACATCTGGTTCCCTACAATTAAACACAAACATCTGGGTGAAATTTTAGCTGCTGCATTGATGCAAGTTGTTAATAACCCAAATCACAACTCTCAATTACATTAAGAATAAATCCTCAGTGTATAGCACTCCCTGTTCTGTTTTAGAACTCATCTATTGATTAGAAAAGACACATTGTTCTTGATGAATTAAAGTATAAGTTTCCTGAAATTAGATTTTCAATATGATTTGTGTGCCATTTAATAAGATTTCTAGACTTTACAAGACAAATTTAATAATACAATATAAATATGATATAAAATATAATAACAAGCTGCTCACACTGCTGACATGGGATGAGGCCGAAGCAGGAGGGGGACTGACTGGCTTTTTCCTTGAGACCCTCTGAAATATATGAGCTCTTTTAAGCATGAGCTTTGAAAAGGATGAATGCACAGATTGAGTTCTACTAGAACACTATTCTAGTGTTGTATCTCACTTTGGCTTTCAAGTTCAAGCAGAAGTTGGCAAATGAGGAAGCTCATCTTAATAACTGGGATTAATAGACTAACCCAGACCGCAGCTTTTTTTTTTTTTTTTTTTTTTAATAAACTACGCCTCTTTGCAAGATCCAGTCTGGTCTTACCACCTGTATTCACAATATATTTACAGTGCCTGTTATGTAGTGTTAAGAGTAAGAAGCAACAGCAGAGATCAGATTGACAGTACTTGTAACCACGAAGATCATACACAAAAGCTCCTGTAAAGCCAGTAGTGAGGGTGAACAAAACTTACCTATCAATTACGTAAAAGTTGTCCCCATCATCACCTTGATCAATCACATGCTCTCCCTCTTTGACCAACTTTTCAAACATGGCATCTAATACTTGAGACATCTGTTCCTATTTTTTGAAAAGAGAAGATACAATTTTTATGTGTATCTAAAACATGTTTTCTTAAGTAACCATAATAGCCTTTATGGTTCTGTGGAAGATCTCAAGGAAATGAAATATAACTGCCATTAAGTCTTGTGTATGCACAGTGCGGTCTTCCTAACCACTGACAAATGAGATGATTATATATTTATTCTCATATTCAGTATTTGAATAAAAGTAATTATAATTACTCTATTTCAGAACATTTGCAACCATCACCATTTTAAAATGAAAAATGAACCATTCAACCACCACATAACTTATGAAATATAATCTTAGCAACTAAAAACAAGAAGGATGGAAAAGAATGATTTCAAATTTCTTTGTATTATATTCATTCTTAAATTTCCCCATTAGTTTTTCCTAGAAAAAAAATTTTGGGGGGGGGGGTCCGGTCGTGGGGCCTGAACTCTGGGCCTGGGCGCTGTCCCTCAGCTCTTCAGCTCAAGGCTAGTGCTCTACCACTTGAGCCACAGTGCCACTTCTGGCTTTTTTCTTTTTGCTTATGTGGTGCTGAGGAATCGAACCCAGGGCCTCTAGCATGCAAGGCAAGCGCTCTACCACTGAGCCACCTTCCCAGCCCTTTTCCTAGAAATTTTGTAGAAATTATTTAAATACCTGGTGAATTTAGATTTGGAGTCCAGTATTATTTTTGGGGGGTTGAAGGGTCCACACTCAAAACAAAATAGAACAAAGTAGAAAAATAACAAAAGCAATGAATGAAGGAGATAAACCAAACTTAAAAAAGCAAAATCGTATGTTTTAACTCATATGTGGAAGCTAATCCTAAAAGACACACATATTCATGGACATGTATGTATAATACATACATACATATACACATACATACATAGAACATGACTCCTAGCTCTGGAATTGTTTAAATGGATGAGGGGAAGGAGGGATGAAAAGATGGATGTAGGGTGAATAATTTTCAAATACAGTGCAACTAAATATGAAGATGTCATAAGAAATCTCAGTGAAAGTTGTTGATCAATAGGGGTTTGGGGACAGGGAAAGAAATAGCAAATATAGAGGTTATTCTGAGAAAAATACATGTATGTCTGACCCTTGGTGCAATTATTACACAGTAAAACAAAATATACATAACAAGAAAGTACAACAGTCTCTGTTGAGGTACAGAGGAATATTAGCAGTACTAGCTACAATTAGGGTAAATAAAGATGACTATGGTCCAAGGGTAAAGTTAATCAGGAGACAATGAATACATGTGTGGAAATATCACAAGGAAATCCTCCTTGTACAAGTAATATATGCTAGGGAGGGAAGGAGAGATGGAGGAAGGGAAAAAAAGAGAGAAGAAAGGAGCCAAACAAAAAATGAGTGGCAAATATTCTGTCACTATTCTTTGTCATGAAGATTTTCGCCAAAAAGCAACCATCTACCTCTCCAATGCAGATCTGTCAGAAACATCTAAACTATATTCCACAACCATTTCAATGATATAAAATTTTTATTCTGCTTAAGTGTGGGTGACAAAACTTAAGGATAAAGTTCAGCTCATGAGAATAAACCGAGATGAAAGAAATTTTTCTTCTGACCAAAACAGGCAGAATTGTGACCTCCGAACAGACTTGAGAGAGGAGCTGAAGAAACAGCAGCACGCAACAGGAACAGCTAAGTCAGGGCTTGCAGGGTTCCGAATTCCACCACCCGTAAGTCCTGAGCTCTCTGCGATTACAAAATCACTGGCCAGGTCAAAAATCAATGACTAGACACAAAATAAAGAATGGATAACAGATTGGGGTGGAGGTGTCAAGTGGAAAATACAGTTTGAAGCAGTCTTTTGGGTAAAGAGAGTGAGATACCGTGTGATTCTTCTCCCTTTGAATCTCCATTTCAGTACAAGAGGTTGAAGACAGGAGCCCACACAGCAGAGCATGTGGGAGGAGGCAGTGCTAGATGAGAGTTCCAGAGCAAAGGTGACGTAAAGGCGGCAGGGGCCGGTGGAGAGGCCAACATGCCTTGCTGTTCCTCAGGACGGGACTGAACTCAAAGCCCAGAACAAATGAAATGATATAGTCACACAGGGATGGGTTGACAGCTCCCTTCAAAAATCTCTCTACTCTGAACACAACACCGAGTGTCCAAGTGTGTATACAACTCTTCAGAAGCAAGAGGTCAAAGAGAAAGGAAACAAATCAGGGAATCAGAAGAGACACAGTAAGTGCAGGTGCCCAACAGTACGCTTCCACCTGCAGGAAGTGAGGCTTCCCAGCCTAACAGCGGCTCCCTGCCAGCCCTGCCCAGCACTGCACCAGCAGGCAGAGCTCCAAAGCAGCTTTTCGTTGCCCCTCTGGCAGCCTATAAGACTAAGATAAACAGGCAAACACCATAAGAGATGCAGATGTCAGGTACAGAAAAAGATCTTCTAGAAATTTCTACTAGTGCACGTGGAGATATTCAAGAAGCTATATCCATCTGTCTCTCTTTCTGCCCACTTCTCTACCTCTCTCTTTCTCTCTCTTTCTCTTTCTCTCTCTCTCTCTCTCTCTCTCTCTCACACACACACACACACACACACACAGAGGATTTAGAAAAAGAAAAGAGGAAAAATGGTGTAGCTTGGAAATTTAACATGATTTCCAAAATTTTTCCTGTATTTCATTTCATTACTTTGTGGGACTGAGTTTTGAACAAATGTTTCCCTTAAAATTTTTTACTTAGAATAGTGCTTTGCTGAGTGCTGGTGGCTCACACCTGTCATCCTAGCTACCAAAAGGCTAAGATCCGAGGATCATGGTTCAAAGACAGACCAGGCTATCCTAGTCTGACAGACTCTTGTCTCCAATTAAACACCGAAGAAGCCAAAAGTGGAGCTATGGCTCAAGCTGGTAGAGTGCTATCCTTGAGCAAAAATGCTCAGGGACAGAACCCAGGTCCTGAGTTCAGGCCCCAGGACTGTACCCCCCCAAAAATTACTTAAAAGAGTAGTTTTAGGTTCACAAGCACACAGGGCACAACACCCCCATCAGAGAGGTTCATAGCTACACTGATGGCATGTTACATCATTAGCAACCTTACCACTCAAGACCACATTGGCAGTAGAATTTTCTCTTGGTGTTGTACACTACGGGGTTGACAAGTGAAAGTAGAATATATCCACCATTACTGATAGTTTTTTAATAAAAGAAGACAAAGTAAAAACAAAACCACAAAGAAAATGAATAGAGAGATGAACAGACAGTAGTTCTAGAAACTGAAATAATGGAAACCAGAAAGGAAAGAAACAAAGAGAGCTAGAATTGATGCACTAAGACCAAAGAATAGTATTCAGATTGAAAGGGCATATAAAGTGCCCTTCACAACTGATGAACAAACACCCCATACTAAAAGAACTATTTTTAGATCATTAAAGACAAAAGATTTGCAAAGCTTCAGAATATCTTAAAAATCTGAAAAGATGTAAGATTGAAAATGACAAACCATTTTTCATTTGTCTGATTAAAAGATATAAATGTCCAAATAGCACACTACAAGGAAGATCACACAAGCTTCTGAGAAGGTAAAATGGAACCAACTACAGAAAGCAACTGAACAATGATTAGTAAGATTTCAAATGTGCACACCTTCCTCCCACTACTCCTTTTTTAGGGAGTTCTTCTATAGAGAGCTGAAAAAGGACACATGTGCCAGTATCCTTCACTGTATCCCCCTAACTACAAAAGATTGGAAATAAAACTAATGTTTACATAACGGGGCATTGGATAAATATATTCTGGCATATTCATATTCTAAAGAACTAGGCAACTGTGAATAGGCTGGGACTCTCACTTGTCCCGCGGAAGTCCGTGACAGCAAATTCTGCCAGCAGTGAGACCACAGAGTTGATGCTGCCTGATTTTAGCACAATGCGAAGACCTGGTAAGGTCAGTTTGAAATTTTAGCCATAATTCTAATAGGGGGTATAGGATATTTCATTGTTATTTTAATTAGCCTTTCCTCAAAGATACATTATGTGAAGCATCTTTTCATCTGTTCAGCTCCTCGTCTTCAATGAAGTATCTGTTAAGGTGTTTAGTCTGTGTTTTTAACTAGAGTTTTCTCTCTAATAAGTTCTTAGTTTTGTTTTGTTTTTTATGTCTCCTTCCCAAGTATTTTCTCCCTGTCTCTTATTATTTCTTCATTCTGTTGATGATGGATTGTGTCTCTGGTGTCAAACTAAAATAAAAACTCATCACCAAATCCCAAATCATCTAGATTTCTCTCCTGTACTGTCCTCTGGGCATTTTATGTATCTTACACTTAGATCTGTAAGATGTTGAGTTGATTTGGCTGTGTGTGGGGGGGGGGTAATAAGATATATCTAGATTCATTTTTTGGAGTGATGTTCAGTTGTTCCTGCACTGTTTGTTAAAAACAGGATGTTTGTTCCTTTTTCAGAGATTGATTTATGTTTGTGGAGCTGCCTGAGACTGTTCTACTGAGAGATTTACATACTTCTGTCATCTTCACAGTGTCTCAATTAGCATACTTTCACACTCCGTATTCAAATCAGTATCAATCCTCTCACTTTTCTTCAGTATTGTGTTGACTATTCTGGGCCTTTTGTCTCTCCAGATTTATCTGTTCCATATGTAAGTTTTAGAATCAGTGTGTTGCTATCTACAAAGTAACTTGCTGGGACCTTCATTGTCATTGCAGTGAATCTATAGATCTAATTGGGAAGAATTTACATCTTGACAATAGTGGATGATTCTACATATTATCATGGGATATCTCTCCATATTTAGTTCATTTGTTTTTGTTTTCAATCAGTTTTGCAATTCTCAACCTGTAAGTTTATATATCTATCTATATAGATATACCCCTCATTTAAATAAAATACATATATAGATATATCTGTATATCTACATCTAGAGATATATCTATAGATGTCTATCTATATCTATGGCTATAGATATCTATAGATACACCTATATAAATATATCTATGATACAGATATA